AGGGAGGAAGGGAGGAAGGAAGGAAGGAAGGAAGGAGGGAAGGAAGGAAGGAAGGAAGGAAGGAAGGAAGGAAGGAAGGAAGGAAGGAAGGAAGGAAATTGTACACAAACGTGTATAGCAGTCTATTCATAATAGACATAGCTGGAAACAATGTAAATGTCCTCAAACATGAACGTGACTAAACAAACTATAGGATACTACTGAGCAATTCTTAAAAATAAACTGTTGATACACGCAACAACATGAATGACTCTCAAAAATTTCTAGACTGGATTACTGACTGACTAAGCAAATAGTGACTTTTACAATAGAGATAAAGAATGTAAAACAAATAATTTTAAAGGGAAAAACATCTGATTTGGTTTGAAAATATTACGTTTGGTGTGCAAAAAGGATCTGCTTAATTATATACTTGGACCTTCTGAATCTCCCCACCAGAGCCTGATGTTCTTCAAAATTACACTGTCACTGTTGAGTGCTTCACTTTTATAATGGCCCTCACAGAAATATGATTGTTGGGTGATATCTGAAAATAAGAAGTGAAAAATTATGTATCCTTTTTAGAGTGGATACAAGAACATCTTTTAAAAAATGAAATGTCTTTATTTGCAATGCCCCCTTAGAGCAGAAGGTGAAATCTAACAGCATGAATGTTTGTAGGGTTCAGGATGGCTGAACTGCTGTGTTTGAGATAAAACAACGATGATTTTGCCCCTGCAGGGATGGAACAGAGAAGAAAGGAGGGAGAAGAAAAGGAAGAGGAGAAGGAGGAAAAAGTAGTTAATGTGCAGTGTTCAACCTGAAGTTGTGTTACCGAAAAATAAATACCAATTCTGTCTCCCCAGGGTCATCACCACTCCCAAATCTTCAGTTGAATCTACCAGGCACCTAAGTTGCCTGGTGGAAAACTTTTTAGGAAATTAAGAAAAGCACAAAGAGTCACATCTATGTCTATGTGGTAAGGAACCAAGATAACACTTATAGGTTGTGCACTGGGTCACAAATACAGGGACAAAAAGTTTCCATGCCAGAATTTCTATAAAACAAAGATCTGGTGGAAATTTGCAGGGATCTAAGAGACTGCCACAGGATAAGATATTTGAGGTTTGAACCAACCTGTTCTATATCTGAAGGAGGAGAAACACTACAACTGATATCTGACTGCCACACACATAAGCATTTTGGGCAATAGAAGCTAAGGAACCCTTTGAGAGATCCTTCAGCCCGCAGGAATATGTTTTGAAGCTGGATTTTGCTGGTGTAAATTATTGATCTGGGGCCATCTGAAGGACAAACTACAAAAATATCCATAATAAACATGCTGGTTACTCCTGTGAGTGAAAATCTACTGCTTGACTTTTTTAACAGTTGACATAAAGGGGAATAAAGGCAGCAGCAAGGCATAAATTTATAGAATAAGGTTCTAAAAATAAATACAGTTGTGAAGATTGACAGAACAACAGAAGAAAGGGTAAGAGAAATCGGCCTTACCACTCCTTTGAGTTAAACACTTCAGTTCCCCAGGGTATTTAACTTTTCTTTTCCCTTTTATATATGTCATTTGGACAGCTTTTAGGTAGAGCTATTTTAAACTGACATATTTCATGATAGGCTGAAAGCACCATTCCTAATACAGAGCATATCCCTGGTGTAGCTTCATACCATCGTACATGACCTCGAAGAACTCAGCAACTGCGGCTTTCCACAAAGGAAAACATGCAGCACAGTATTTTCCTAAAGGTTACACATATCACACTTGGTTGAATAATGAAGTTTGGTGATCAATCCACTTTAATGAATCTGTTTCAAGCTTCTCCAATGTTTAATTATGTGAAAACTTGCCATAGATCCACATTCCTTCTGATACTATTCTAAACCTGGGATAGAGCCAGGGTAAGTCCATATCAATAAATAGACTAAAAAGGAGTTACCAGTACTTAAAAAGATTTGTGCAGAAACTTCACCACCCACTTACAGATCTATGTAAAATCACTATGTCCTTAAAATGTCCTGTAATCCCATAGTAGAATTTGCCGTGAATTTCCTTCCCAGAAAACCTCTAGAAACAACAAAAGAACAAAAGACCTTATCACTGGCCTTTAGAAAAGATAAAATTGCACCCTGTGTTTTTCACTACACAATGATAGTGTAGTGAATGCCTTGCTCAAGGTCAGGCATTTCCTTCTGCTCTTGATGAGTTTGCTGTAATTGCAGTTGGCACCACAAAAGCAGGTGCCCTGAGAGCTCCAATGTTTTTCAGCTGGGAGAAAAGGAAAAGAGGCTGAGACTCCTTTGTTGTGTGACAGCCCTCTGATTTTAAAATATCTGCAATTTGTCAAAAGAAAGGACACATGTAGAAAAAGAAAATAATACTCTCCCCAAATATTAATGCCCTCTGATTCATCATGCCCCGGCCAGCTAAAGTGGTTTCTATGCATGCTATACATGAACTCAAATGGTGTATCTGGCTCTCTGACAACATGAGAAAGACTAGGTACAATCTGAAAACAGAATGACAACCAAGGAACATAGGAGTTAGACCAGAAATGACTCCCTCACCAGATCCTACACATCTGCCTTAACCAATTTAAAGAAAACATCATGATGAGAAGTCCAAAATATATGAACATCATATTATTACACCATTTATCACCATGTGCCAAGGTACCATTTAGTAGACAGAAGATTTCTAGGTAGAAAATTTATTAATACTGTCTTCTAACTCTACTCTCTGCAATCCCTATGAACTAATTTACCACCTTGGAGTACAAATAGGACAACATCTTCAAATAATCACTCAAACTCTCACCTGTCTTATAATCAGAAGTGTAGATTCCCTTCTTGGAGCCCCCATCACCATCTAGAATTATCTATGTGCCTAAGTTATCTAAGTACCTAAGCATTGTAAAAGGAATATTTCCCTCTATAAAAGCATTGTAAAATCCCCTTTACAGTGCTGTGAGTACAAAATCCCCTTTACAATGCTATGAGTACAAAAAAATAGAAATTCCCCCAATCCACTACCTCTGGTAGATATGGTGATGCCCCGTGCTCACAAACACTTGCTATTGTCTGTTTTTTTGTGATAGCCAACCTATTGTTGTGGGTGAAGCAGCATCTTGTTTTGTTTTTTATTTGCATTTCCCTAGTAGTAAATGATGTTGAACATCTCCCTGTGTGCATCATGGCCATTTGAAAATCTTCTTAGGTAAATACATATTTAAATCCTTTGCCCAGATTTTAATTTTTTGTCTTTTCATTGTTGAGTTATACATTCTGGATGCTAGTCCCTCATAGGTATGTAATTTGAACATATCTTCTCTTCTTCTGTGGGTTGACCTTCCATTTTCTTGATGTTGTTCTTTTAAGCACAAAAGCTCTTAATTATTGCCACAGATTGAATGTTTGTGTTCTCCCAAAATTTCATGTGTTTAAATCCTAACCTTAAATGTGATGGCATTAAACTGTGGGGACTTTGAGAAGTGATTAGGTCCTGAGGGTAGAGCCTTCATGAATGAAATTAGTGACCTTATAGAAGAGAACCCAGAGAGCGCTCTCAACCTTCCCATTATGTGAGGACACAGTGAGAAGATAGCTGTCTATGAAATAAGAAACATATCCTCACAAGACAGTGAATCTACTGATGCCTTGATCTTGGACTTCCCAGCCTCCAGCACTGTGAGAAATAAATGTCTGTTATTTACAAGCCATCTAGCCTATAGTATTTGGTGATGGCAGCCCAAGCAGACAAAGACAATTATGATGAAGTCAACTTTTTATATTTTTTATTTAGTTGCTTGTGCTTTTTGCTGGTACTTTGCTGAGGATGTTCACCTATATGTTCATAAAGAATACTGATCTGTAATTTTCTTGTGATGCCTTTGCTTGACATTGGTATGAGGGTAATATTGACTTCATAGAACAAGTTAAAAAGTATTCCCTCTTCCATATTTTGGAAGAGTTTATAACCACTCTATAAAATTCACCAGTGAATTCACCATCAAGCCCTGCTCTTTTCTTTATGGCAAGATTTTGATTACTAACTCTCTTGTAGATAAAATGCTGTTGGATTTTTTTTTTAATTTATCCTGCTAAACTGTGTCTTTTGATTGAAGTGTTTAATCCATTCACATTTAACATAATCACTAATAAAGTAGAATTTATAACTGCCGTTTTGCCATTTGTTTTTCTGTATGTTTCATGTCCTTTGTTCCTTTATTTCTCCATTATTGTCTCCTTTTGTATTAAATATTTCTACTGAACCATTTTAATTCCCTTGGGGTTTTTTTTCACTATTTTTTTAAGTTATTTTTTAGAGATTCTCTGGGGATTTCAATTAATGTCATAAGTTATAGCAATCTATTCAGATTAATGCAAACTTATTACAATGTTATTCCTTTTAGCATAATCCTCTCCCATTCCATTGTTACATTATACATAAAGTGCATTTTTATGCATTGTAGGACCACAAATACAGACTTATTGTCCTGTCACTCAGGCTGGAATGCAGTGGTAAGATCTTGACTCACTGCAACCTCCACCTCCCAGGTTCAAGCGATTCTCCTGCCTCAGCCTCCCGAGTAGCTGGGACTACAGGCACGTGCCACCACACTCAGCTAACTTCGTATTTTCAGTAGAGACAGGGTTTCACCATGTTGGCCAGGATGGTCTCAATCTCTTGACCTCATGATCCACCTGCCTCGGCCTCCCAAAGTGCTGGGATTACAGGCATGAGTCACCATGCCCAGCCACCCTCCCATCATTTTTAAGTAAACTTTTTAGTGGGTTTAATATCTGACTTAGTATGTACCTGGTTGTACATCATTTCTTATCCTATGACAACTGAAAAGCTATCAGGATCAAACTGAAAGGACAATCATTCGATACAGATCAATAAAAGAAGCCATCTGATCAGCACTCTCCACTCTGTATAGACCGTGAAAGTTGCCATGCTTCGTTATCAGTCACACTGCAAGTGGTCACATGCAAGCAACTTCTCCAGGCCAGAAAACCTGGCTTATCCCTTACTCTCTCATTACTACTTAATTCTTTTAAAAAACATTTTTTAAAATGTTTAGCACAAAGTTAAAATATTAAATACACCCCAAAGGTGAATGACAAAAAAGCAAGGGTTTACTGCCCCACTATTTGGAATGAACCTTATTCAACAATTTATGTCTTAAGTTCTTCCAAGGATTATCTCCATTTTAAATAACACATTTACACCATGAATTCCTCATTTATCAAATTTAGGTATCATTTATTTCCTCATTGCCATGATAGATAAAGATTTATTTTATTATTCAACTCTAAACCTAAAAAATATTGATGCTTATGTTATTATTTTTAGTTTTTCTATTGATTACCTTTATAAACTTAGATCATTAATACAGTAGATTATTTTTCCACCAACTAGAGATGGAATATCTTGCTCCCCATATATGTAAGATAAGGATCTTAATCTTACCATTCCTCCACATTTCCTTCCTCTTTCTCATTCTCTACCTCAATCAGGATGCTTTTCCATCATCAGGTTGGAAAATACATTCCAATCTAAAAGATTTATATTTTGCATCTAGTCTATAGGTTAATTCTAAATGTTGAAAATCAAGACACAATGTTTCCGTTATTATTACTCTATTATTCAAAGCACAGCCAAGTGGTAAGCTATGGTAAAAATTTTCTTCCCTGACATTAAAATATAATTATCTCTGTGCCACTTAAAGAGCTGTGTTTCTAATGATAAGGTCAAATAAGTCTCCTGTCTTTTCTTCTCCCTTTCCCATCCCCACTAATTGCTCAAATCCTGGCATATCTGAGTTTGCTACTTGTGTGACCTAACTTTCTTAACCTTCTTCAAAAAATAATTTTTCCTTTTATTAAGATTCCTAAGTCCCATAGTATGTTCTCAGTAAATATTTATTAAAATTAAATTACTTTGAATTACCAGTCTATCCCCACTAATAAATAAAATGTTCAAATATTGTCATTTCCCAGGGATTTTATAAGTGATTACTGGCAAAAGAAGAAAAATATTATTCAATATGTCCCTTTAGGATAAATTCCAACCCAATCTTTAGCAGTGCTAAGTTTGCTCAATATTTTTGTGGGCAATATTATTCCAGGAAGCGTGGCTTCCAGAAATCACAATGACCTTACTCAATAATTGCTCTCCCAAAAGAAAATAAATATTTCATTTTTTCCTAATTGTGCTAAAATTGTTTTATCTGTCAAGTCCAAAATAAAAAGCATCTGGCTTCATTAAAAGAGTTTACCTAAGGTGTTTGTTCCTGAAGAGTATGCACATAATGAAGAACTGCAATACTCAAATTTAGAGAAAGAAACAAGAACCCATAAGCAAAATACTGACACTGATAAAAAGAAATGCCATTGAGAGAAATAAGCAGCCTTATTTATCAAGATAGTGAATAATTTTCAGCAGCCAAACTTTATAAAGCCACCCACAGCCTTTCCTGTTTGAATATGTCCCTGCCCAGACTCATGGAGTATGGATTCTAATCTGGGTCTTTGGACCCCTATAAATTAGCTTCAGGGTGTTGGTGAAATGCTTGTATCTATACAGAGGTTTCTGTTTATTATGTTTCTGGGTCTAGAATTTACAGATTTAATTGGATTTGTAAAGTGTTCTAAGACCCCAAAAACATTGAGATTACTCCCACATGTAGGCCAATCCATGAGCAAACACATCCAAGACTGCTTCTGCAGAAGCACTACTAATTTCTTACAGCCACACATAACATCTCTCTTTTTACTGACTTCCTAGTCAATCTGCCACCCTAGATACTTTCCTTTCTTTTTTTCTGATGTTATGCCTATGAGAAATCACATATGGCCTAAAGAAAATTAAAAATGAGGCCTACACCTCCTAAATAGTATTTGCATAAGCCTCAGAGCCATGGGGTAATAGCAAACCATCTGCCAAAACATTTATAGAAAAAAAAAATTTTTTTTAACATCGTAACCCTCTGATCTACTCTGCTGGGGCCTAGAGAACAAAAAGTAGTAGGTGACTAGACTCTTGCACAGACACATGCATACGCCATATTGGGAATAATACATTTCATGGAAAAACAGAAACCTGCCTCTCTGGTGAGGTTTCGAGGATCTACGGCCCCACTCTGGGGGATATTGCAATATCCCCACCAAGTGACAGAAACTAGCTTCACTTTGAGCCCCACACCATTAAAGAAAGAGTCACAGTTATTGGTGAGCCTCCTTGAATTTTAAAAATTACATACATTTCAGTGTGTATGCATTTCTGTAACCATTTCTGTTGACTCCAGTGACTATCAGCTTAAACGATGTCAAGGGGAAATAGAGATGGTCCAGCTGGTTCAACCGTGACACTTGACCCTTATGACCCAGAAGATCTAATGGTGCTTGATGGGTCTACAACAGGTTATAATGCTTCATAGAGACTCTTGTAAGATTTAAATGACAACTCCTAGATTTTGAGGACAAACATGCCCTTTTCAAGCCATTGTCTTTTTGAAAAACATATTTTAGTTTGCTATTGGACTGAATGAAGACCCAGGACCTCACTGTGGGGCACCAGTCAACCATTTAACTTCTCCATATAACATCACTAAGTGCTATCTAATCAATGGCACCCCATAATCTCAGGCACATTCAACAAAGCCTAACCAAATCAAAACCTAACCATGACCAAATGATTGATATATATTGAGATACATATCAAATCACTGGTATTTATGTATATATATATATATGCATATAGATAGAGATAGAGCTAGAAATAGTGAGAGAGACACAGGGGGAGGAAGAGAGACAGACAGAGAGAGGCAGGACAGATCTCAAAAGCACAAGTCATTTGCCTGAGTAAATGGCTTGCACTCCCCAGATACTCACTCACTCATGATTTCTGCCACACCTCCCTCAGCCCTCACTATGACCTCCGATGGAGATTCCTCAGACCAGTGATCTGAAGGAAGGAAAGGTGTAAGCTTGGTATACAGACAGGTCTAGACCACAGTTCTACACCATGCTGGTGCCAACCAGAGGTAGACTATAAACAATTTTCTTTTTTTTTTTTTTTTTTTTTTTTGAGAAGGAGTTTCGCTCTTGTTACCCAGGCTGGAGTGCAATGGCGTGATCTCGGCTCACCGCAACCTCTGCCTCCTGGGTTCAGGCAATTCTCCTGCCTCAGCCTCCTGAGTAGCTGGGATTACAGGCACATGCCACCATGCCCAGCTAATTTTTTGTATTTTTAGTAGAGACGGGGTTTCACCATGTTGACCAGGATGGTCTCGATCTCTTGACCTCGTGATCCACCCGCCTTGGCCTCCCAAAGTGCTGGGATTACAGGCATGAGCCACCGTGCCCGGCCTATAAACAATTTTATAACCCTACTTACAGTTGTCCATGAAAGGCGATACCCTGTGGGTGGAAGATTGAACCAGATATTATTGACCTTCCATTCAGCAAGTTCTGTTAACAACCTAAAAACATGAATGGCTTACAAAGGTTGATTTTTGCTCACTGTATAGTTGGCTCTGGGTTAGCTGGAGCTTTGCTCTACATGTTTTTCAGTCCTGTATTTAAAATGAAAAGAGCAGCCACTATCTATGGTATTGCATTGTGTCGGGGGGGAAAAAATGAAGTCAAAGCTCCTATGGTCAGCTAATGTTTTGTTTGGGCATGCCTGATGTTATGTCTGGTTACATTCCACTGGCCAAAATAAGTAACATGAAGAAGCGTAATCAATGGTCTCTACAGTAGGCTACATTGTCCTTTCAGAGGAAGGGCGTGTAGATAGAAAAAACATTACGTAGTTTAACAATACATATCATTGTTCGCTTTTTCTAGAAAGACTGTTCAGCATATGGTGCAAGCCCAATTCATAGGGAGTGGCTGATAGCGTAGCTGGATCAAGATTGGAGAACTGGTACAAGAAATCACGAGGAAGAAGTATGTATGTGGACTTCTCAGAATAGACCCATAGTGGAGGATATTTATGCTCCATATGAATCCTGGCCAGGTTTTACTGTGGAGCAAACTCAATCAGAAAATGTGTCTAGTGCATGTCAGTCAACCTCTGTCTCCAGCCAGTGAGCTCATGAAGTAGTGGCTATGGCAACAGAGACAGAAGATTCTTCTCCATAAAAGTCAGCTAGGCACTACCACTGATGAGTGCTCAGACTTTCAGCAACACCACGCAGCCCTATGTCCTGATATATAAGACCATTTCTCTGGGTTGAGGGCAACCAGGTAGCTATCTTGTAACAGACTGATTGCACTGGCCTCTTTCTATCAAGGCGAGGACATTGATTTTTTTTCCTCACTGGAATAATCACTATTTCTAGATTTAGATTTGCAGCAGTATATACTAACAAGGCATCCTCACAAATTGTTTCTGCAGTTTTCCGGTAATTTTTAGACCCTGGTTCTCCTCCCTTCCCACTGATTCTGTGGGAATACACATATCCTCCTAATAAATCTCCTTTCAGCTCAGAGCCAGTTTCTGCTATTTACACCTCAGAATCAAGACTGAAAAACAAAGTCCTTGGTATTTCTCACAGTCACTTTCCTTGAAAAGTAAAGCCTTAAATTCTCAACTTCTCCATAAATAAAGAAGGAATCTTCCTGTCTCTTAGAATTATGGGCCTGACAGCCAAGCTACAATCAGATTAATCCAAGAGGAATGTCTTAGAGATTCAAGTTTAGGCTGCCTAGGCAAAACACTGGTCAAGTTGAGCAATTATCCATTGAAATTGCTAAATATAGGCAGTAAATCTCAGTCATTCACTTCATCAAACGCTTTTTTAAAACCATTATATATTTCTTTGGATTTTCTGTCATCTTTTCCACATATTTTATTTTTTCTGCATAAAATAAGTCAAATTAGGCAGCTCAACTTAAAATCTAGCAGTTACTGCTAACATATCTACATGTTTTCTCCAGATACCTATTCTAAGGAGATGTACATCTAGCAGCTTGTTAGATACTAAAATAGAAAAGAATTCAGGCAACTCCAGAGCAATTTGTGGCACCTGTCTGGATCTCCTGGATGGCTTTTCTTAAATATCTTTGTGCTACATTCTCCTGCCCGTGTCAAATTTCCATTAACCTTGGTATAATACCTGGGTGAAGATAGATTAAACTCTAACATTTTAATCAGTTAACACAACCAAGTTTCATTTCACTTATTTCATTCATCAAATAGTTTTTGTAAGACAGCTCTTCATCATGCAGTGCCACTGAGATCCAGAATGCTCACCTCTGTGGTTTCATTATCTCAGTATACAACCTCCATACTTCTTTGGCCAGAACAAGTCATGTGTCTTCAACCTAGCTGCTGGGGAGGCTAGGAAATCCTAGAGGAGCACTAACTATCTCTGCTCCAGTTAAAAAGAATCAGGTATAATTCATTTTTTCTAGTATTGAAAAAGTTATTTTCTTTAGTAACCAATATATTTCTGACACTACATATACACTAGAATATTATAAACTTGAGCTATATACATCAGCCTTTCCTCAAGATTTCAATTCAGGGAAATGTGGAGAGATGATAAAGAAATCAAACAATTAGCAACTTCCTGTAATAAGCACAGTCCTGTTAAAGAGGTTACTGTTAAAGCACAGTAAAGGGGAAAACAGGGTAAGCTTTGCGGAGGAAGTGTTTTTCTGAACTGAACTTTTAAAGATCTGGTTCACATTAACCAGATGACAGAAAGTAAAAGAATGTTCTAGATAATGAGATTAGAATGTGAGGATATTTGGAAACCAGTAACTGTGAGATTATTTCAGAGACATGCTGAATCAGAGGATAGAAGAGAAAAAGTAACAACAGCTGAGTTGAAAGTAGTCTTCCCCAATGGTTATTTACGAGAATTATGAATCCCCTGAAATGCTCCATGACAAATTCAATGATTAAATATATATTATGATTGGGAAACATAGATTATATTAACCTTTTAGAATACTGAAGGTTCTAAGAAACCCTATGGCACCAAGCTAAACCAGCTTGACCTTTTTTGACTGGTATTTACCAAACTCAGTATGAAATCCTATTAACAGCTCATGGAATTGGTATTCTAGAAAATGCAGGTGGAGAAAATCAAAGATTAGAGATAGTTACTGGATCAAAAATTGCCTCATATAAAGAGCTTTATTTCTTGTCCTGCATGTTATTGGAACAGTGAAGGATTCTAAATGCAGTAAAAACTTTGAAGGTGTTACTATAGTGTGGTAATGTAAGCATGAAGTCATTAGGGCTTAAACAGACGTTTTTCGAATTATGTCACTGAATCCACTAGACCATTTGCTCAGGGTCCATAGTTTCTTCATCTCTGCATATACGCATTCCTAGCCCAGGGGTTTGCACGAAGTAGAGTCGCTGTAAGTTGAAGAGCGATTGAGTGTAGTAAGAAGCTTTTGAAATCGTGCCCCAGGATACTTGCCCTCCTGGTATCCATGACTTTTGTGTAGTCTCCCCATGAGTGTGGGACAGGCCTAGTGACTTGCTTCTAACAAACAGAATATAGCATAGGATGTTGCTACTGTGACTGGGTTACAGAAGATTATGATTGCCATCTTACTTTTCTCTCTCTCATGGGTATTGACTTTCTCTGACACTTGCTACAATGTTGTAAGATGGCTGTGGAGCAGCCCACATGGCAAGGAGCTCAGAGAGACCTCAATCCAACAAGCCAACAACTCGTGAGGAACTGAAACCTCAGTGTAACAACAGACCACAAGGAATTAAACCCTACCGACAACCATGTGATTGAGTTTGGAAGTGGCTCATTCCTAGTCAAGCCTGATATGACTGCAGCTTTGTAAGAGATAGAATCTAGTCAAGTGTACCAGATTTGTGATCTACAGAAATTATAAGATAACAAATGTATATTTTTGAGCTGCTAATGTGTAATTTGTTATGAAGTGATAGATAACTACTAAAGGAAATCAATAAATACATTGTTTTCCACTTGATACTTATCAAATCTGCCTTTATCTTTTATACATGAATTATACAATAACTGTGTGTGATGGCATGATTAGCTTCAATTTTTTTACCTTTTCCTGTAAAAATGTTTTGTTCGTTCTTATGTGACGTTGCTATTTTTTGCATTAAAGAAGTGAAAGAGATTTTCCTATCCCTTAACATAGGGTTTAGCTAGGTAACTGCTCTGGCTAATAGAACAAGGCAGAAGTAACAGAGTGTCAACTACAAGCCTAAGTTTAAGAAGTTTGTAGGTTTAACAGGAAAACATTTAACATTTTCTCTCAGATTTCCTTGCAATTCTCCTATTGCCATGAGGAGAACGTGTTCAAACTGCCTTCTTTTCCCAAAGGGCAGTGAGAGGCGTGGATCTGAGCCACCTGGTCAAGCTGAGCCTCAATCTGCCACTGCCAGACTACCCATCAGATCATGAACTAAATAGATGCTCCTTGATGGACATGACTATGCCCATAGTTTACTGATACATTCTGTGTTCAGAAAAGGGATGGAAAACTTCCTCATGAAGAACTGGTCTGATTAAGAAAACCTTGAGTCCCAACATTAGATCAAAGGGAAAGCATATAGCTGCATTTTCAGGCAATGTCGGTAATTAGACCAATGTTTCTAAAATCTAGGATTCCCAGGTTTATTACTAGTAACTTGCTAACACCTTCAACATGCTATGGGAATGAAAGTGGATTTCAGTTAATCATTTATCTTAATGAATTATAGAGATATATGAAGATGTTAAAAAGAAAATCCCCTTCTTCCTTCGATAAAATTACCTTTTTTTAGAGTTTCTGTTGGTCTGGTTGGCATGAAATTAACAGGGAACAAATTTACTTAGTTTCCCCTTTCCCATTACCAAGTTTCATGAATTTGACACTTTGGAGGAACTCATTAGCTCCTTTGGATTATAATTAGCTGGAATCCAAGAAAGTACAGAATGACTGTAATCCTAACAGATAAGTTATATTTTTTTATTAAATGTGTGGACATGGAGGAGAAAAGGGTCAGTTAAAAAGAAATTTCATCCATAAATATTTTATACATAGTCTAAGAAAATTCAGTCTTTGGTGGACTGAATTATGCTGGAACCAAAGACTCCTCTTTGAGCTTGATTGCCTTTAAGTTGTCAAAAATTATTATGGTTTGCATGTTATTGTTTTTCCTTTCAATTTTTGTATGTTTTTTTTCAATTCAGTATGTTTTTTTTAACTGATCTTCCAATGAGATGGCATTTCTTATTGCTCTGCTCAAATTGCCAAATCCCTTCTTAAAATAGCTGAACCATCCTAAAACATTTTATATAGTAAAACGTAGCCTTTCAAGTTGTTTATACCCTGGCCAAATACATCTTCATAAGCTATATGATTTTCAGATTTCTGTAGTACTGATAGTAGAATATTTTAAAATTCACGAAATTGGGAAAAAATGTTTACCATCTCAATAACAAGGCAAATTAAACCAGATTTAATGATGGTGTGGAAAAACCATTTCCTTGAAATACTAGTCTAGGCTTTAATTACTGTAATTATCCCTCAGCAGGGAGATGGTATACATTTCCCATCTGTACCAGCTGCATGGCATGCTAGGACTAAGAGGAAGAACAGACTGAGGGACTTGTGGGGTTTCTGGAATAAACAAAAATGCAGCTCCCAGGAAGGAGATGATCCAAAAAAGTCCAAATTTTAACAGAGACAAAGCAAAACAAAGCTGGATTTGCCACTGAGGAAAATAAGAATGGGATATGCCATTTGAAAATGCATGGTAGAGATGTTGTCAATGCCAGCTGCCAGGTTGGGTCTTTCCAAGTGTCCCATTAACACAGGACACAGAAAAGCAAAAGTGTGAGCCAGACTCCAGGTGTGACAGGATAATCTTATGAAGAATTAGCTTCTGTGTCTCATATTTCTCACTCCTTTTAGGAGTGACCTTATCCCCTTCAAACAGTGAGGAATAAGAAATTCTCAGATGAGGCCAAATAACAATACATCCTATGCTTTGTCGTTAAATATTTAAAAGCTAGTGCAAGTAGATGTCCAAAATTAATGTCATAGTTATACAATCAGACAGAATGGATCCTTTTCCCCAACTATTTGAGCTGAGAACTACAACATGACAGAAGAAGAAATTTCAGACGTTGGTCCATCAATGTGCCTCAATCTCTTTCCCTAAGTCCTAGAGGTGATGGAAGAAAGAAGTGACGGAATCTTCTCCATAAGTTTGAAAAATAACAGAGCCAAGAGAACTGTGCCTCGTATTCCTTTTTAAAACATGATATCCCTCATACAACAGTAACAAGGAATCAGTATGGTAGGGTGGCTGGGGGTAATAGCTATGACAAGGTAGGTGCCAAGGGGCAACCCTGGCTTTTCAATGGGCCCACATATAGAACAGGTGAAAGTTCCTTACACTCTTGAGAACAGCAGATGAAGCAAACAAGAGCTGACATAAGTCCTCTCTTACCCTCTCCCCTCCCCCAAGAAAAATAATTGCCTGGGAATGGGAATGAGAAGGAAGCCAGGTGAGCAGTGCAGACTTAATGATTAGAAACCACGCATAGTCAAGTCAATTCTAAGCAAAAAGAACAAAGCGGGAGGCATCACACTACCGGACTTCAAACTATACTACAAGGCTACAGTAATCAAAACAGCATGGTACTGGTACCAAAACAGAGATATAGACCAATGGAACAGAACAGAGGTCTCGGAGGCAACACAACATATCTACAACCATCCGATCTTTGACAAATCTGACAAAAACAAGCAATGGAGAAAGGATTCCCTGTTTAATAAATGGCATTGGGGAAACTGGCTAGCCATGTGCAGAAAGCAGAAACTGGGCCCCTTCCTGACACCTTACACTAAAATTAGCTCCAGATGGATTAAAGACTTAAACATAAGACCTAAAACCATAAAAACCCTAGAAGAAAATCTAGGCAAAACCATTCAGGACATAGGCGTAGGCAAGGACTTCATGACTAAAACACCAAAAGCATTGACAACAAAAGCCAAAATAGACAAATGGGACCTAATCAAACTCCACAGCTTCTGCACGGCAAAGGAAACGGTCATTAGAGTGAAACGGCAACCAATAGAATGGGAAAAAATTTTTGCAGTTTATGCATCTGACAAAGGGCTGATATCCAGAATTTACAAAGAACTAAAACAGATTTACAAGAAAAAAACTAACAAGCCCATTCAAAAGTGGGCAAAGGATATGAACAGATACTTATAAAAGAAGACATACATGAGGCCAACAAACATATGAAACAGTGCTTATCATCACTGGTCATCAGAGAAATGCAAATCAAAACTACATTGAGATACCATCTCACGCCAGTTAGAATGGCGATCATTAAAAAATCTGGAGACAACAGATGCTGGAGAGGATGTGGAGAAATAGGAACACTTTTGCACTGTTGGTGGGAGTGTAAATTAGTTCAACCATTGTGGAAGACATTGTGGCGATTCTTCAAGGACCTAGAAATAGAAATTCCATTTGACCCAGCAATCCCATTACTGGGTATATATCCAAAGGATTATAAATCATTCTACTATAAGGACACGTGCACACGAATGTTCATTGCAGCACTGTTTACAATAGCAAAGACCTGGAACCAACCCAAATGCCCATCAATGATAGACTGGATAGGGACAATGTGGCACATATACACCATGGAATATTATGCAGCCATCAAAAACGATGAGTTTGGGTCCTTTGTAGGGACATGGACAAACCTGGAAACCATCATTCTCAGCAAACTGACAGAAGAGCAGAAGATCAAACACCGCATGTTCTCACTCATAGGTGGGTGTTGAACAATGAGAACACATGGACACAGGGAGGGAAGCACTACACACTGGGGTCTGTTGGGGTGAAATAGGGGAGGGACGGTGGGGGATGGGGAGCTGGGGAGAGATAGCAAGGGGAGAGATGCTAGATGTAGGTGATGGGGAGGAAGGCAGCAAATCACACTGCCACGTGTGTACCTATGCAACAATCTTGCATGTTCTTCACATGTACCCCAAAACCTAAAATGCAATAAAATAAATTTAAAAAAAAAAGAAGCCATGGAAGACTAGGCATCTAAATCCTTTACAGGATAATTTTTATCTCTCAGTCACTTTATACAAGAGGGTCAAGCCTGGGAACAAGGTTGGGTGGCTTCTTAACAGTGCAGGCCAGCAGAAGAGTGAGCAAAATGGAGAGGAGAGCTGTTTCCACCATTGGCTCAGTAGCCTTTTGTTAAACCTCATAGAGATATAGCCAAAGGTCAAATTACTAAGGACTCTATAAGTCAGGTTTAACTTTATGCTTTAGCTTTTGAGCTTGCTAAAACTTTATGAGTTTTACCTTTATGCTTTAACTTTTCACTTATAGGCAATGGAAAGCCTTTGGAGGTATATTAGTCCATTCTCATGCTTCTCTGAAGAAATAACTGAGACTGGATAAGTTATAAAGACAAGAGGTTTAATTGACTCACAGTTCCACATGGCTGGGGAGGCCTTGGAAAACTTACAATCATGGTGGAAGGCACCTCTTCACAGGGAGGCAGGAGAGAGAATGAGTGCCAGCAGGGGAAATACCAAATGCTTATAAAACCAACAGATTTCATGAGAATTCAGTCACTATTACAAGAACAGCATGGGGAAACCATCCCCGTGATCCCAATCACTTCCAACAAATCCTGCCCTTGGCACGTGGGATTATTACAATCCAAGGTGAAATTTGTGTGGGAGCACAGAGGCAAACCATATCAGAAGGCATAAGTTTTTAATCTTCTACAAATGACGGAAATCTAACTAATATTAACAGAAGTAGACAGAGGTTTCTCATTCTCATAAATCCAGAAGTCTGGAAGAAGGCAATTCCGGATGGGTTCAGTAGCTCAAAGATGTTACTAAGGATCCAGTATCTTTCTAGCTTTCCTGCTACACTGTCTTGAGTTTGTGGCTTTCTTGCTTATGGATGAATGCAAGATAGCCATAAAAAGGATGAACTGATTAAAAGAAAACGTGGTGTATATACAGGCTCATTTGGCCCTTGAACAACATAAGTTTGAATTGTGTGAGTCTACTTACACCTAATTTTTTAAATAAATATGTTGGAAAAATATTTCGAGATTTACAACAATTTGAAAAAAACTTACAAAGTGCACAGCCTAGAAATATTGAAAAAAAAGTAAAGTTATGACATAAATGCATAAAATATGTAACTGACTGCTTATGTTATCAGTAGTCAATAGGAGGCTATGGGTAGTGAAGTTTTGCGGCAATCAAAAGTTATATGCAGATTTTCACCTAACCCCTGCATTGTTCAGGGTTCAGCCATATATACACTGGAATAGTATTCACTAGAAAGAAGAAGGAAATCCTACCATTTGCAACAACCTGAATGAAACTGGAAGGCATTATGGTGAGTGAAATAAGCCAGAGAATGACAAATACTGTATGATATCACTTATATGTGGAATCTAAGAAAGTCAAACTCATAGAACTAGGTCGTAGAATGCTGTAAAATGTAGGTATAGAATGGCGACTACCATTCTAACTAACAGGAGAATGGTGGTTTCCAGGGGCTGGGGGGAGGGGACAAATGGGGAGATGTTGGTCAAAGGGTACAAACTTTTAGTTATAAGATGAATACGTTCTGGGTATCTAATGCATAACTTGATGATTATAGTTAATAATACAGTATGATAGACATACTTGAAATTTGCCAGGAGAGTTTATCTAAAATTTTCTCTCACCACATCAAAAAAAAAAAAAAAAGAAAGAAAAGAAAAGAAAGATAACTTGTGATGAAGGTATTAAATAACTTGATCGTGGCAATAATTTCATAGTATGTATGTGTACCAAGGCATTGTGTCATCTATGTAACCCTGTTACATAGCCAACATTAGTGGCAAGGGAGTCTGACACTAACAAAATTTGTCCCCAACAAAATCAAGTCTGTTATTAGGAGAAAAAATAAAAGGTATAATGGCTATTTGGTGAGCAGTTAGCATGGGCTGTCACAGGTTTTTAAGCAACATGATCAAATTCTACTTTAGAAAGTGTATTAGTTTCTCTATTGTCACAAAAATGCTTTATAACAACCACCACAAAACTTACGTGGTATACACAATAAATGTTTATTGTCCACATGTTCAGAGTCCACTGAGCTCTCATGTGCCTGGGGGTGGCAGGCTGTTGGCTGACCAGTTTCAGTGGGATGTAGTGACTCCACCCTGTTCCACAGGCCTCTCATTATCCAGCAGGCTAGACTAGCCTTGCACTCGTGGAGATGGCAAAGGTACAGAAGAGCAAGGTAAACCACAAGGCCCCTGGAGGCCTAGGCTAAGAAGCAATATTCCCTCCCTTCTGCCACATTCAATTGTCCAAATCAAGTCATAAAACCAGCCCAGATTAAGAAGAGGAAAAATAGGTTGATTCCCCTTTTCAGTAAGGAGAATTGCAAAGTCTCATGGCAAATACATATATACAGGGAGGGGTGAAGAACTGGGGCCATGAATGCCGTCAATCTAATGTACAAAAAAACGGAGCAAGGCTAAAGGTAAAATACCAGCGAGCTTCCTATTATAATAACCAGGTGAGAAGATGGTAGCATGAGCAGAGATAGAGCTTGTGAGGTTGAAGAGAAACAGACCAGCTTCAGAGGCATTTAGGAGACAGTGATAAAGTCTTGGGGGTCGAATGAATCATGGGGAAGAGGAGGAGAACAGAAAAGGAGGAGGAGCAGTCAAGTATTTAGTGTAATATTTCCTCTTTCCACCGTTCAGTGTTACAAAAAAGTATGACTAGAGGGAGAAAATAACAGGAATGTAAGAGACTATATATGTAACACACACTTGGTTTTGCTTACTGTCAAATCCGACTCATTTTTATTTTAGTGTCAGTTTGATTTTACACTGATTTCTTAGGAGTGTTGCAAGATGAAATAACTTGTGACACATGTCTGCCACCGAAATCTAGCTTAATGGAGCACTTCATTCTAAACGATATACTATGGGTGAGGTGAGAAGAAAAATGTTTTTCCAGAGCCATATGAATATGATTTTCAGTTAATTCACCTTGAAAATTGCCAAAAATAAATTAGTACTTAACAAAACCAAGAAAGTCAGATGTCTGTCAGTTTTAGTGGGGAGTCACAAAGTTTCATGACAATGGTGACACAAAAGAGCTGAAGGGGCCTGTGAATCAAATGTTGTAAGTTGTGAATCGAGTGATACAAGTTTCTGCATCATCAGAGATGCAGGCACAGACTTCACTGACAGTAACAATTCCAAGTCTTATCATCGTGAAATATGGGATCCCATAGGCTTCATACAGTCTTCAAATGAAGAAGTTCCAGTTTGAAAACCAAAGCTAGAAAGCAGATATTTTGCTGAGTCTTGATAATTGCGTTCTCCAGTGGAAATTTCAAATTACATAATATATGGGGGGAAAAGTGCCAGTGGCCTGGGGCCCCTAGCAAAATCCCCACTGATTTCAAAAACAGAATAGAAAGAGAGGACAGCATTGTCTGGTGAACCCATGTAAGGTGAGGGGCCTCAGCGCAGTGAAGGATGTGATGTACCTGGAAGGAGAGGGATGAGACCCCCACTCCGGAAAAACCCCACACACTTCAACATGTGTCCCCAGAAAAGAAAGAAGCCAAAGTGAGAGGACAAATACGATACTGGTCTCCATGATGAGGTCTCTAGTGGAATCTGCCGGTTGCTTTCTCACTGGCCCTTTCATACAAGTTTTTATAAAACATCTCACTAATATCACTAACATCATGAATAGTGAGTTCTGCAGGTCATATGAGGAGATAGAGATAATAAGATGAACTCTGCCCTTCCTGCATTGAGGTAAGAATGACAGCAGGCTTCAGCAAGAGCTGATTATGTAGCAGGCATTTTGCATATTTATTTTATTTACTCTACTGAATAACCCCAAAATGTAGGCACTACGACTGTTATTTACATGGCAGAGAAACTGAGATTCAGAAAGGCTCTGTAGCCAAGCCCATGTGTCTGGAAAAGCTGTTCAACCAGGATTTGATCTCCTTCTACTCAGGCCCCAAATTCCTTGCTCTTGACCATGCCTAGCATAGAGTTTAAAAGAGAAGACAGAACATGGACAAAATCAAGTATGGTTGGGTTAGACACACTCATCCTTCTATTACTTTCTACATTCCCAGCGTTATTCTAAACACTTTCCATGGTTTTTCCTTTAATCCCTACAGTAATGCCTTGAAGGTGTTGATGGTGTTATCTTCATTTTAAGTTGGGAAAATTAGGGCATAGAAAAATTAAGTAATTCACCCAAGGTCACATGACCGATAAATGACAGAGCTGAGATTTGAACCCAGTGAGATTGGCTGTAAGAGTTTATGCCATCAATACCATGCTATGCTGTCTCTCTCAAAAAAAAAGACACAAGACTAGAGGAGTGAGTGATTTTTTCTGAGGCTGTAAAGTAGAAAAGTATGTGGGAGAAAATGAGTTAAATATTTGGTGGAAGATAAAGATGTGTGCTGGGTTTTAAAAAAAGAGGTGGATATGTGAAGGGAGGGTGAGGTCAGAAGTAAGAAATTCACCTAAATAGATTTCTCTCTGCCACCTTTTCTTTATTGTCTAGTGTTAGTATTTTTTCCTTCACAGCATTTTGGAGATTGTAATTACTTACTTACACAT